ATCTATTGCAAACAGTGCAGAACAAAGCATCGCCCCGGCCGAGGCTGGTTCCAGTGGGGAAAGGCAAGTGACTATTTGCGCCCTGCACAAGGCACCGCTGCCCCTATTTACGCCCTGTTCCCACCGAGGCCCCTGTTCAGGGCTCCCAGACTCTGGTCCCTTCGCAAGGGGGCTGCCTAGACAGTAGCAGGCCAATCCTCAGAGCCCTGAATTCTACTAGCTTCATTAAGCCCCAGTCTAAGGTGCCTTGGGCCACGCCCGTAGGGCAGGGAGCGCACAGCTCGCACCCCCCTGGAGTGTCACATGGTTCTGGGAAGGTTACCAGCCCCCCAGCGCTGAGCGTCCAGCGGGGCAGCACCAAGACCACCACAAGGCCAAGAGTTCACTCTCCTTGGCTGTGCGCCTGCTCAGAACAGGGCAGCGCTGGCCGAGGAGCGAGCCGGGCGGTGACAGACGCGACTGCGATGGAGCGTGGGCGCCAGAGCCTCTGAGCAGAGCCCGTGAGCCAGCGCCCGGCTGTCAGATGCTGTCCTCTGTGCACAGCAGGTAGGTGGCAGAAGGGAGAGAAACGCCTCCCGACTGTAGCCTGCAGCTCCCATAGACCCAGCCCCAAGCCTCTGAATACAGGGCCTGGGAATGGTGTGGAAGTGCAGCGCACAGCCCAAGGGAACTGAATACCCCGGGACCTTGCCGGGCCCCCCCCTTCGCCAGCAGCCCAAGCAGCACTGACTGGTTCTGCAGGGAAGGGCACTGAGGCCAGGAGGTGAACAGGGAACACTCCCTGCTTCACTGCAACAGCCCTGGGTTGTCTGGCTTGTGCGCCTAGAACGTGTCTGGATCTGGGCTGCTGGGGGAAACAGGTACGTTCTCTTTACACAGACAGCAGGGCAGACACGTGGGCCTGGCTAGGGAGAGCCATTCCCTGCTGGCAACTGGCCTCTTGGCAGGCTGCCCTCGGCAGCCAGGGGAGGGTGGCTGCTGGGCGCTGCTTTAGGTAAGGCAGGTGCAGCCCGTGGTGGACAAATTCTGGGCACAAGCCTCCTGTGTCCGGATTGAGAAGTGCTGGGACACTGCTGAGGAAATGGAGACCTGATGCCACAGGCTGTGAGCACGGGCAGGGCTGGAAAGTGAGGGGAGACCCTTGTGTGAAGCACGTCAGACCCCATCTGCCCGGCTCCCCAGTGCCAGGCAGCAGGAAGGCTAGAAACACAGTGACCTGACCCCAGCAGGGGGAGGGAAGCATGCTCTACTACCCTCCCCCTGCCCCCTGCCAGGAAGCACCCAGGCCCAGCAGCAGGATGGGAAGAGAGCAGCATTCTGAATCTGTGAGCAGAACAGCTCAGCGAGATCACGGAACAGATAGAAGCCACAGTGACTGCTCTGGGCTGTACGTGGCCCCAGCTTCCCCCAAATGACCTGACCCCAGCAGGGGGAGGGAAGCATGCTCTACTACCCTCCCCCTGCCCCCTGCCAGGAAGCACCCAGGCCCAGCAGCAGGATGGGAAGAGAGCAGCATTCTGAATCTGTGAGCAGAACAGCTCAGCGAGATCACGGAACAGATAGAAGCCACAGTGACTGCTCTGGGCTGTACGTGGCCCCAGCTTCCCCCAAACGCCTTTGACCATCAGTGGGTTTAAACAAAAGGTGGCAAAGACACTAGACTCCTCCCTCTAAAGGCTTCCCCCTCAGATCAGCTGGGCTACGGGCAGGCTGAAGTTTGCACGGCCTGTTCCTAATGCAATAGGAGGTGGGGTCTGTCCCTCAGTGCTTTAGCCAAGGAGCCAGTTTTTGTACAGCATCATTGGATACATGATTAAATACACCGAGTCTGGACGTTCCTATGAGACCCTGGCTGTAAACACGCGCAGCACTCGGCAAGCTGTTCACTTAGGAAAGAAGGGACAGACGTGATGTCAGCTAAGCTTGCTACCGTGTTGCTCACAGCTCTCCACTGTGCCACTTCAGACAGATACTCCGGGAACTGCAATATAAGTTAATTTCGCAGAAGAAGCACATCACTGTGGGGAGAGCTACACACAACTTCACAACACACACACACACACACACACACACACACATAGGGCTAGCCACTGCACAACACAACAGCCTTGGAGTAACACCGCTCAGTTAGGGTGATGAGGTTTCTAATCGTCAAATTTTCCTTCCCGGATGTTGTCAAACGAGAAGGGGAGGAACTTGAATCCAGTGCCCATGTAGAACTTATTCTGGAATTCAACCCTGAAAGAGACAAAGAAAGAATGAGCGTTCCTCACCCTCAGCAGCTGCTATTTGCAGGGACTGGCTCCAAGTTCAGTGTATTGGGACTGGCAGATGACATGAAGCTTTCAGTAAGACAGCAGGCATCAAACTATGGCCAGCAAAACATGCCCCGCTCAGATCGCTCCTCCCCCATAGGGACGTGAACAACTAGTCAACTACCCGATAAGCAAATGTTTATCGTATTGTCAACGTACTCGTCCAATAATCGCTTCCCCCCCCCCCCTTTCTGATAGAGGGAGCAAGGGGAGGGTGCTGCGTGGAGCCCGGGGCAGCTGGGGATTCCATGCAGTGCTGCTACTTTGAAACGCCGTGGGGAACACAGGGCCAGTGCTCCCGACAGAGCAGTCCCCCGCTGGCCCTGTGCACTCCACAGCGCTTTCGCCCTGGGGCTGTTACACATGAGAGGCAGAGGCGCCCTTATCGACTAGTCAACACAAACTGCATCAACTATTCGATTAGCCAACTAACCTAAATTTAACTTCCCTCCTCCCCCACCTGCTGGGCAGAACAGACAAAAACGGACAAAATACAAAAATAGAAAGAGCAAGATACAAAAAAAAAAAAGGGGGGGGGGGAGAAATCCATGAGGCGGGTTTCACACGGAAGCATTTAGATAATGAAAGGAACACACGTCTCCTCCAGAATATTGTTTCTTTAAAAAAAAAAAATCACATTCTATAGATCACATTTATAACACACTGATCTCGTGATCCTATGTGGGGGCTCCCCCCGGCCAACCTCCCCGAATACTGAAAAGTATAAAGCCCCTGGTGTATATGTTCTCATTCCCTTTGTCCGAGGGCTGTACCATGCCTGCTGTCCTCAGTGCTCTCTCCATAGTCACAGCATTTTTCTTGAAAACTTAAGGACAGAGATCAGACAGACACCCAGGGATCATCTAGAGCCTCTCCCCATGTCTGCTCCCTCCAGCCCCTGGGAGGGCCAGGACGGGTCTCTGCAGAGGATTGAGAGATTTGCCCAGTTGTGCTTTAAAACAGCCTGTGCATGCGAGTTTCTGCTCACTTGCCTTGGCCATACCATTGGGGTATTTCCCCCAGACACAAAGAGGTTAAAACCTGCCCCCTCAAGCCCTTTCCCCGTGTTGGCTGGAGCCCTGCGCCCAGGGCGAGCCTTTGGGGCAGAGACCCTTACTAAGTGGATGAACAATGCCTGGCCCAAAGGGGCCTGATCTCAGTTGGGCCTAGCAGATGTCGCAGTCTTTGACCTGCGCTAGTGGTTCTCTCAGCCAGCAACTCCCCACACTGGGAGCCCTCAAGCGCCAGGCACTGCTCGCATGAACGCTGGCCACAAAACACAGCCACGCCGAGCGAAATGGTCAGTCTGGGGGCTGCCACCCATACGTAGGAGCATCTGGTCTCCCACAGACGGAGGCCAATGTGCTGCAATGCCAGTAAGTCCACACAAAGAGTTGCTCTTGCTAAAGTCAGGGTCAATATTATGTGGACATGGTACAAATGGGGACAGGATGTCTCCTCCTCTCGCCAACGGCGGACAAGGTGTGCGACACCCACCAGAACCTTTCACGTTTTAACTTAAATATTTTAGAACCTCCCTCTTCCTGCCCCCCTCACTCAGTCATCTGGGTTTAGCTGGTGAAGCACATTTTCCCTGGCTGCTCCTGAAGAAACAGAGATATGCACAGTCTCAATCTCGGCATTAACTTCACTTTTTCGTTTGTTTTCCCTAAAACTAAATTGGAAAGGAATGACCCTGGAGAGCTGCCAGAGGGTCAGAACACTGCCAAATATGGACAGAGAAACCATGAGTCATAATAAAAACAAGCGCAGTGTTTCTGTGCGCCCCATGAGAAACACTTTCCAGTCTCCTGGCCATGGGAACCCAATTGGCACACAGTGGGGCTCTAGCAGAGTAAATTTTCAGATGATCTTAGGACACATTTTGCATGATGAATTTTTAAATGGTATAAACTGAAGTGTCCCAAGGACACCGGTAACGGTCCTTAGAAAGTGACTGCATGCAAGAGGGCGTGAGCAACAATGACAATATAGCACAGTCGCTTGCAGCCCAGTTTGCAAAGAAAGCACAGCCAAGGAGCGAAGCGTTCGGACGGACATTCTGCCGAGAGATTATCCTGCCTGCGCAAACAGGGATGAGTTCCCTGCTAAGGAATCCTTGGGGGTGAGCAGGAGTTTCCACGTAGGAGTGAAAGCTTCATTGCCAGGAATCTTGACACTAAGTCTTCAGTGACTAATTCCTATTCTTTAAGGGAGGGGAAATCAGAGTGGTGTCTCACACCGAAGCACAATTAGATGAAATTGTAACCATGATTGCTAATCTTTCTGATTTGCTCTGTGCAGGCAAGCTCCAAGTCCTTGTCACAGCCGTAGATACCTGAGTCCGACACGCTGTTGCCGCATGGGAATAGACAGCGAGACCAGGTCACTTTCATCTAACAGAACTCTGAACTCCAACGAAATAAACATCTACCGAATAAAATCCAACGCTTCTTGGCATCTACGCCCCAGAAGAGACAGAGTACAAGGATCTGCTCTGCAGTGCTAGATGCCTGCTGCTCCTCAGCATGCCAGCGCCGCTGCATAACGCGGGAGGGCGTCTCTGGTTTCCGATCAAGCACTGCAGAAGAATTCACTAAGTCCTTAGCTTTGCTCTTTAAACAAACAGGGACTTAACTGATTTTTGGGCTTGTGCTAACACCCCAGGGTTTTCATATCAACAGGCCTGTGCCACCAACTGTCCTTCAGTACAGCCCATGGGGGATTTTCTAGCAAGATCCCCCTGGAACTGCAGGGCCACACGTGAAGCAATTTTCCCAACCTGCAAGCATCAGCAAAGGTGTTTTAAGCCACAAAACCACATTTCCATGCGCATATGGAAGCTGCTGTGCATCGCCCAGGTGCCTCAGTAGGTGCGAAAGAGTTAATTTGGGAACTTAATGCAGGGCCTGCTCTGGAAAGTGGCCTCTCCTTCCCTTTGAAGTCAAGTGGCCCTTGCCTGTCCTGTGGTTAGATTCATCATTATCAGGCTTCCCCAAAAAACAGGCCAGGCTTCAGCTCCAGCAGGGCTGACCACCCTCCCTTGGCTTACGCCACATGGCGATACCCTTTTAAAGCCGCGAGCCTTTTACAAATGACAGCCAACAAATAGTTTTGCCCCAGTGGGTGGGGACCTGAGCCTCACTACACCCACGTCTGCCCCCGGCATTCCAAGCCGAGTACAGTTACAGCCCACCCACGCCTACGGGAAATTAATCCTCCTCCTCTGGCTGCAGAACACCAACAGCTTTGCTAGGGCAGACGGTGTGCGCCTGTCCAGTCATCCTGAGCTTCGCTCTCAGGTTACAGCTCAGAACAGCTGGCCACGAAGCAGCCTGTTAATACTCCTTTGTGGGTTTTGCACAGCTGTTTGTGGCTTGCCACGTTTGTCGTGTCTGTTTGAAGTCTATTTTGGCGTCACCACCCAAAATCGTGACCCTCCCTGCCCCGCAGGACCTCGCCATGTGACGGGATCCAGACATGGTGTGACTTCGAAGTAGTTATTAAATGCTTCACAGCCAAAGGGGCCAATTCAGAGCCATGTCACTGCCCTCCCATGGCTGCGCAACAGCCAATTCTATGAACATCTGAGCAGCAGCAGCATGCAGTTCAGACAACGCGGAGCGTGAAAAAAATGCTTTCCACAGTCCCTGCTGCAAACATCTGCCGTAGGAACCTGCCTTGTACATGCAGAGAAAAGAAACACACAGACTAAAATCCTCAGTAGAATTCTGCAACACCTGTCAAAGAGATATGATTCAGTGTACATCAGTGCAGACGAGTGGATGGCGGGGTGATGGAAATGGCTGTGTGCCTCCAGCAAGAAAGTGAACTGGAACTGGCTGCTAAGGCAAAGCCTGGTCATTTTACTGAGTTCTAGCAACAACAACAACAACAATTAGGCTGGTCAGCTCGCATTCAAAGTCTGCGCAGATGACTCCGTATTTAATCAATTTTCCTACAACAGCTGCCAGGACTTTGAACCTCCCTGTTCTTTAACTTTACTTTTTAGATCAGTGTTTCTTAAACTTAAGACCCAGGAACACCAAACAATTTTTTTTTTAAATGGAGAAACACTGAGGATTTTTTTGGGGGGGAAGGGGGGAAGGTCAGGAAGGAGTGTTATTGAGGGGGAAAAGAGGTTGCCTGCCCCTTTAAGGGTGGCAATTTTGAATTCTGTTTTCCACCGCACACCTCTAACTGCCTCATGGCACACCAGTGTGCTGCTGAACACAGTTTAAGAAACACTGTTTTAGATGGTGGGGCAGATGTGCAGCAGCTGGCTGAGGTAGAACATCTGCAAGCTGCTGCCTGGGGTTAATTCACTGGATGCGTAATGGGATATTCCACACAGCCCTTCCATGGGAGCACACCAGTGACTTCCTGGCCAGCTCCCAGCCATGCTGGTTGTCCTAATGGGTGGGAAGGGGCAGCTGCCAGTCCCACTCAGAGCGGTTTAGAGACTTGCTTCCCTCTCCAAGGGCTAGGCATAGCATTCAAGGAAGTGAACGACGTGCCCGGCTGTGTTTGAATTAAGCAGGGATGCCACAAATTGCATTCACGAAAAGCAAATAGAGACAAAGGAGAGTGGAAAACAAGCAGTCAAGTTACTAGCCAAACGGAAATCAAAATCAGTCCACGTTTCCTGTTCAGCTGAATCAGCAGCTCTTCATGTTGCGCAAAGATGGGATAAGAAGGGGAACTAAAGATGCGCTAGGTCAAGATCACTGCCAAAGTTTGAGCACTCAGTTTCAACAGGCAGTTAAACATTTGCCACAAAACACTTAGTCCAAGTTACTGATGGAGGCATCTGTATTTTCTGAAAAATAAATGGTCTCCAACTGGGCGTGCCAGGCAGACCTCTTAGATTAATCTATTTTCCACCAGCAAGCATATGTTAAATGACTTCTCTTTTCCCTGAAGCCTGCACTATTCACCCGCCCCTTTAGAATTCCAGATAGTCGACTCCTCCGCAGCTACAAAAGCCAATCTTACCCAAAGCTTCTATGAAGCCACTCCTCCTAGGACAACTGTACTTGGTCCTATTGCTCCATGTTAGAGAAGACAACATTGGAAGCACATGGATTCCCTGGTCAGAATACAAAGGAATGCTAACCGTGTATTGTTTGGAGACCAAGAGACTTATGACTGTTCCGCAGTGGTAACAGTACTGCAAGTGCCAGGCTCAGCACAGGACTGGAGATCATTTTATCTTAAGTTGCTCCCCCCCCCCCCATCTCCAGATGGATGAGCAGATTTGCTTTTACAGAGTTGACAGGTGAGAGGCTCCCATGTTCAGCAGAAATGGGACTTCACTCTAGAGTTATGCGCTGTAGTTTTCCGGTAAACGCTCTGCAGATGTTCTACACGGCAGCTGTGTTCCATGCTATTACAGTTGTTTCTTGGCTCCAGAACTGCCACCGGTATCGGTCAGCTTGCCAATCACCGGGCCACCTTCCCTTTAGGACTTGCATGAGTTCAAGATTTGAAACATGGTGCTTAAAAAAAACCTTGGCATTGTGCAAAGCTCCTTCTTGGGCTAACAGGGAACATGCCTTTTCAGCAATATGTTGTGGACAATATACAGGCAGTCCCCGGGTTACGTACAAGATAGGGACTGTAGGTTTGTTCTTAAGTTGAATCTGTATGTAAGTCGGAACTGGCGTCCAGATTCAGCGGCTGAATCTGGACACCAGTTCTGACTTACATACAGATTCAACTTAAGAACCCCAGGCGTCCCCAAGTCAGCTGCTGCTGAAACTGATCAGCAGCTGATTCCAGGAAGCCTGGGGCAGAGCAACTAGGTGTACCGGTAGTTCGGAATAGGAATCCCGCGCTACACGGGGTTCGAACAAGCGGGGATTTAAAAATGGCGGCTCCCCGCTTATGCAAATGAAGCCCGGGAAATTCAAATCCCGGGCTTCATTTGCAAGTGCGGTATGCCTACATTACCCCGCTAGTTCGAACTAGCGGGGTAGTGTAGACATACCCAGAGAGACTGGGGATCCCACAGTGGCCAAAGTGACCATTTGGGCTGCTGTGAGCACATACTAGACGGGGTGGGTGTGTCTAA